TAAAAGATGACTAACCCAAGATGTTGAACCTGGTAACTTAAGAACAGTCACACACTGTCTGGCAACTCCAAAGGCTACCATAACTCCTGCACAGCATTCCACACTCCTGTTCACAGCAGACTGCCAGATACTTAGGTCTTCATGTTCCAGCAGCTTTCTAGTTTGGATTTTAATAGTGCAATCTACTGGTTTGAATTGCACTGCCATTAGCKCTACTAAAGATGAGAACTRAAATCAAACATTGAATTGTCCTAAATGCAGACATACATGGCAATGACTACTTGTATTCCACTAAAAGACATAGAAGTATTAAAAATACAAAATTAATGCTCAGTGAAAATACACTACTTCTCTCCTAAGCTGTTCCTTTACTTTTACATGCCTAACTTCTCTTCCTTGATGCCATCTCACATGCTCACACACTTTTTTTATAAAGAAAATAAATGTTTCAGAAAACACCATTAATCTCTTTCATCACCATTACCTATGCTTTTCAGTGAAAAGCATTCCTAAGCCTCAAGTATGGTACAAAAAATTGCTTTTATCTAGACATGACACAATAAATAATATTATTAACCAGCAGCATCATTAAAACTAGGAAGCTTTTCTTCATTACAGTCTACAAATGAAAGTCCTTGTCCTATCCGCGCTGCAAGACATCTTTATCAGGCTGCCAAAAAATTAAGGGTTGTGAGCAGCAGTACAAARTGTGGATGGCCAGGAACTACAGCTGTACCCAGGAACACAGTGGGCCCCACACTGATCAACACCTTCATTAACAATGTGGATGATGGGGCCCTCAGCAAGACTGCTGATCACACAATCAGCACACTGTGATGCCATTGAGAGGGACCTCAACAGGATGGACAATGGGATTAAACAAGATCTCTACTGGTTCTTTCCAAACTCAACTATTCTGTGTTTCTGTTTTAGTACACTTTACCACACAGTAYCCCAATTTTTGCTTTAGCCCTCTTTAGAGTGCTCCACGTGCTCACACTATCCACAATTTTTCAATTTCAAAATATAATCAATATAGGCACAAAAGTTTAAAAAGGTTTCCAACCACCAACTTTGAATTTATCATTCTGACAGCTGAAGAAAATAACACAAAAAGKATTAGGCATACTGTAAAAGAGCATTCTCTCTGTCCCAAGTTATGTAGAATATACTGACAGCAAGCCTATGATTTGATGCTCCTCTCCTTTCTACCTCTCTTCTACTGATACCGTTTTCCRAAGTTCCCTCCCTAAATAGTATTTTCACTGAGTAGTATTATCACACTCAAATTTATAGACATGCATTTCCCAAATCCCACTTCATTTTCTAGTTTTATTTCTACAATTTTAGATTCTACACAGGATGAATTGTCTCCTTCACCACCATATACTTCCTCATCTGTCACACCTCAGAGAGARTTCTCAGTGTTGGCTCTTCGGGCAACACAGTTAAAGTATTTCCTCCTTAGAGAACCCACTGCAATGGGACCAGCAAGGTGCATCTCCAGTCACAGAGAGTGAGGCATTCCACCAAGAAACTGTTCAGGAAAGTATCTGCAACCTTCCACACTTCAGGCTCACCACTACAGTCCTTACATGGGGCTTAATTATTAAAATTAAAGAACCTGCTGACCATTGCAGACAATTTTGGCTTGAAGAGAAGTGGAAGTATTTTCAACATGGCATCATATACTGTCAAATTACTGCACTATACATTGGAATTATGCTTTTCTTTGCAACAAAGCCAGTGTAAATAACTGCTGTCTTCTTCCACTGCCCCAAGTTCCTTTCTTCCCACTTTATCAACCATTTCATTATCCAGTTTAAAAGGCTGGGACCCAAATGCTGATGAATCAGCACAGACAAGAGGCGACAACTGTGAGCAAGGGCACAAACTTTTACTAGCTTTGTTAGAAAAATCCACTGGGGAATCTTTTCCTAAAACCTATAGGAATAAATAAAAAAGTAAAAATGTAGAGAACATTTCATAAGGCAAAAAAGCAGCTTTGGCAGTCCTCCATTTAACTGCAGAATGCAGTATAAAGAATAGTACCATGAAGCAAATTTTATGTTTTAAAATTACTTGAACTAAACCACTCAATCGAAGCAAAATGCGAGAAGTAAATGCTGAAATAATTCAACTGGGGAACATTAAATACATCTTCTGAGAATACTATTAACACAAGCAATACTCTTAAATTACATATTAGACATGATAGCTAGATTTTCCATAGAGACATACAAATGCAAATCCTTCCAGTAGGTTARATAAAAAGTATTTTCGTTTCTAAAACATAACTAACTTTCAGAAATTCAGAAACTAATCTACTCCCCTTTAACCTATAGTTTCACAGGATCAGCCACTTTATCTCCTCACAGATAAGTCCTTTTGAAGCCAAGTACTGCCACCAAGTGGTGGTGAAATTTGGTATGCAAATCCAATCATTCCCCATGTGTAGAGCATACAGAACTGAAAAATGTTCCTGCAGCTGCCAAATATGAGCAGTGCTCTGCTAACACAAGACATTTAAAAATTAATCAAAGCAGAACCCAGATATCCAAATTTAAAACTGGTCTTCATTGTAAAATAMAGGTTTTCCCAACAATTCCATTCCTTTTGTTCAGACACTGCTTGTAAGCAACTGGGTAAAGAATACTTTTTTCCAATACAAATCCAGTATATATCAATAAAACATTAAYAATTAGGTATTTAATGTAACTTTATGCAAATCCCCAATGACTACAACTGTATCACCAGAGAGGTCTTATTTTCACTATAATCCCAAATATCAGGAAAAAGAACTGCAGCCACTACACTCACGATAGAAGACAGGCATTTGGAGACTGAAGACAGGCATTYGGGAAATGCAGATTGTTCCAGAAAATGAACTCTTTCAGTCATCCCTGCTGCCCCTCTGAACYCTTCTCAGCTCTGCCATATTTTTCTGTCACAGGACTAGACTAGTACTCAAGAAGCAATACCTATTGMAATGCAATCCAATTACAGAACACCACGAATTTGTAGAACTGGATCTGTTTTTTATTTTGTTCCCCAACAAAGCACAGTAATTTCATCGACTTACTGACTATTCAGTTGTTATTTTTACAGAACTATGGGAACCTCAAGTCCTCTTCTAAGCAGCAACAATACTAATCAAACATCATTACACTGTTGCCATTTATTCTTTTATACRTTTTTCTGTCCTCTTGCTGTGTATGCAATACTACAGGCCTTCTCCTCAGAAACGAGCTTTTTTCTACTAAACATGGTTAACCATCATTAAGATGAAAGGTCTTCAGTGTTTCATTCAGAAGACTTCATGCTTAAAAACCACACTCAGGTAATAGACTTTTCAACTAATTTTCTGTATTTAAACCAGTAATTAGATAACACATAAATTTAAAAGAAACAGAAATGGCATAATGGCATAAATTAAAAAGAAACATAAATGGCAAACATTAGGTACAGAAAGCATTAGAAGGCAAACAGAACAGTCTGAATTTCTTTGTTAATTCAAGTCCCTTTCCTAGCCACAATTCTTGTTTTTCACTCATCTTCAGATGAAGTATTTACTTGTGCAGAGTTATATTCATTCCTTTTCTCAAAACAGCACATTCCAGAAACCAGCAAAGTCAAACGAAGGCAGTAAACACCCCCTACACGTCAGTATATGCATAACATAGCAGTAGAGCTAATTTTAATTGTTTATAGTTCAGAAGGCAATTCAGAAGACATTCATAATCAAAGTCCTGAATCACTTATACATTATACAAAGGATCAACACTCAACAGAAGAACTATTTTAAATTCCCCACAAAATACTTTTCTATAATCAGTATTTTTAAGTTGACAGCAGTAGCTCTGAAGAAGCCTTAGTGGAACAGAAGATATGAACAAAGCAGCTCATGTCTATTTTAAAATATACATACTACAATTTCAGGGCAATATTAAGTCTACATATTAATTGGAGTTTGGAACTGAGGAACAAACTCATTTAAGCAAATGGCATCTCTCTCTCTCATCTCTTCAAAATACCAAGTCACTGAAAGCAGCTGCCTTCTGAGACTGCACATTAGTCAAACAGCAAGCAGCAAACTTGAGAAGACAGCTTCAGTTTGTTACAGAAATCTCAGTACCACAGTCCATAATGCCATGTCTCCAAAAGGAGAGAATTTACTGAATTGTGGGGCTTTAGCTAAAGAATCTCTTGAAAGACTCAAGTTAAAACAGATTAAAGCTCTTTGTTACATATTTCACATAATTACATGGAGAAGAGATTAATTTTATAGTTCAAATTATTCCTGGAGTAGCAGGTAAATGGAAGAGAAAAAAACTAGGCTTATCTAAATTCTTTTTCTCAAAATAACAGAGGAAGGGGTTGGGGAAAAGGAGGAAAATGCCAGTTACAGAAAATTTTCCTAGATGGACACTCTGCAATTGCAAATGGATACTTAAGTTCTACCAGCAGTAAATCTCCATACACTTTGTCTTTCAAATAGCTTGCAAATAGGTTCTTAAGGACAGGAAGGGGTGGGGGGGAATTCCAACAGAATTCCATTATTTAAAACCTGAAATGCAATTCTGATAGTTGGTCAAATTTCCCACAGTTATTTATTAATACAGTAAGTGCAAGTTTAACATGTCGCTTTTACAGTGCGAAGTGCACTTCCAGTACTTTGAAACCAGGTGAATAATACGTAGAGGATGAAATTAATTTAAAGTACTCATAATTTTGGCTGTCAACACCTAGCAGAATGACTTGACAGCTTTTGGACTATAATAGTTAACAGAAGAAAATCATAATTATAATCACAGTATTAAATAGTGGGGTAATAACTTCTGTTCCTCCTTTGGTTCGTAGAAGTAACACTCCATACATCACAGCAATCAAGACACAAATTTCAAGAGAATTTTCACTGACCACTTTTCTGCATGTTTAGCACTACACGCCAATGGCATTTTTTGGGAAAAAAAAATCACAAACACAAAACTCCTACTCACCTTTTCTTGTTTGATTTACATTATGCTGCACGATCCACTTCCACATTAAAACAAACCTGCAAAATAAAACAAGAACTTAGTGCATAGCTGCCACTGTTTTCTGCTTGTGTCCTACATTATCAGATAACACAGGCAAGGCARAGAGCTAAGAAATCCACATCCATAAAACTTTTCTATCTTACTCATCTCAGGGTCAAAATAACAACATTACGGTGGTCTTCTCTCAAACATGTAATTTCCAAATTACATAGCTACCAGCATTTTATTTAAAATTCCCCCCAAGAAGTTGTATCAAATATACACACGCTATTAAACTAAGTGGGCAGAACAGGGGAAAAGAAGTTGCACGGCAAAAAAAAGCTCTGCATTTTCTGCTATGTGCCTTCAAAGTCAGCTATCTTAAGTTCCCTGAACAAGGAATGATGCACAGAAAGGAAATGGTTACAAATGAAAGCTTTTTAAAAATCTTTTTAGCAAAAAATGATCAACATAGTTGAGATTAAGTGCTGGAGGACTTTAAGCCTGGGCCTAATTCTTCACCTTTTCCAGGGCAAAGTTGTATCATCAAAATTGACTCTAAATGAGGTAACTATCCTCACATAGCCTCACATGGCTAGGATTCCTTACCTCATTTTATTCACACAGCTTTTTGATTCAGAGTTCCCCAATCAGCYTGCAACTGCTTCAAAGCCACTTGCCTAAATTACAGAGAATAAGGGAAGACAGACCTTTCAAAAAAGTCTACCTGGGTAATATAAAGTAACAGAAGACAAGTAYTTGAGCTCCTTTCTCTAGCGTCAGGATCGCATCCCAACTATCACATTAACTGTAGCTTTATGCATGACTGTTATTCAATATAAATGCTCATTTGTCAAATAAGTTTTATTACAGAAAAAAACAGAATTCTTTAGTCAGGTTTTAAAGTAAYATTCATTCACCTAGAGAAGCAGAAGTGTTGTTTTCTAACAGCAGTGGAGCTCTACCGAATGTTACAGAAATTAAATGTAAAGCTACAGCTAAATGTCCACAAAAATAACAGCTTCTGTATATGAAGAGCCAAAACACCTTTCAAAAAATGGGAAAGAGGGTCTATGATCATGGCTTTATGTGATCAAAGATTAGGATCAGCACTAAACCAGACATCCCAGTAAGCCTGTGYACTTTGGCTGGGCAGTGACAATTGCCTAACACTTCTCTCACTGAAGAACTGCAAAGACACTGCCCCAGTCCAAAATGGTCTCAACATTGACATCTTGTAAACATTGCAATTAACTAAACATTAGCAGTAATTGCTCTCAACACAGATTTCACTGTTTGTGAGTCAAGTGCAGAGAGACTCTTTCCATCAAAGGACAGAGCCCAGACAACTGCAGATCACTGGGGTGATACAGCAGTACACTGTCATACCACCCACTACTCTGTAATAGGACCACATTACTTTGGACCAGACAATTTACTTTCTTGACATAAAATGGGAAGTCTTACTCGACACCATTTATCTAGAGAGCATGTACTCTTGTAGTCATTGAATGTTCACTTTTTTCACAAAGAGATCATCAGCAAGTAAACTGCTGAAGGACCAAAGGACTGGTCACCAAAGCCCTGCATCAAAAACTTCATAGGGCCCTGAAGAATGAACTCCCATTTTTGGGATTTCAAACCCTCTGATGTACAAAGCTCCACCCAAGAGGAGATGGTATTTGTAGTGGCACGGAAACATCTTGATGAAGGGAACACAATCCACAAGAAGACACCAGATTTTAGCTCAAACCACTGCCAAACTACTGATATCATTGAGACTGTTTAAAGCCACCCACCGACAGTGCTTAACCAGCACTCACCTCTCCTCTCAAAGGTCTTTCCGCTGTCAAATAAGATTCTTCTCAMTCCAGTACAATCAAAACTCTAACACCTACTGCTCTTTTCAAGGGTGATGACATTTGAAATAACTGAGCACCTGACACTATTTACCAGCAGATTCAAGAACGGTAATTCTCCAAAAATTTCCATAGGGAAAGGCAAAGATTTCAACATCATATATGCTTTTGCTCCAATTTGTCTGCCTTAATTCTCATTATCAGGAAAGGAAGTGAGAATGAAAGCCACCCTCCAATACCGGTAATAAAATCGACAGCATCAAAAAGGGATGCAGAATTGAGTAAGAAATGTAGTTACAGAGCATTCACCTGGAGACCTCAATATTCAAAGAGAGAGAAGGGGGACCACAGCAGGGAAAAAGGACTGCTGTAAAATGGTCAGGCTTCTGATCAGTGATAAGCAGCTGCCTGCTCTGATAAGGGCAGTTAACAGGAAGTGGAAGAAAACTGAAATGGTGGAGATGAGAGTGATCACAAGCACAGCCCCAGTAATACTAAACCAAAAAAGATGGACTGAAAACTCTTGTTATAATGAAGTATCTCTTAACACAWCCCCTCCCTCTCCAAGGAAAAAGTTTATGAAATACTGGAATGCAAAGGTGTACAATGACTAAATGAAATTTGCTGTAATCCTGACAAGAGTTTCGATCTATTTATTTACTATGCAGCCCTTATTTCATAACAGATCTGTGAAAACTGACATTTCTATATCTCTCTGGGAAAAGACACAACCACCTTTGACCACTACCATCTCCTGGAACAGTTGCAGCCAGGAACGTAATTCATATAGAAGTTTTTTACGTGTTTTTTTAATGCTTCTTTGTTTTGTGGTGCATTGCTGTTTAACACAAAACTGGTTTTCACCCCGACAGCTGATTATGCCTATGTGGAAAGGAAAAAAGAGGAAGAAACAAAGATTAGAATAACTGTACTATACAAACTACTTTTGTTGCTATAAACTGTGGGTAAACACCAACCTGACCTAATATAGCAAAAGGCTTGCAACTGTAGTCTTGCCTTTATGGCTTAGAAAATTCGATTAGTTAGTCAAGAGYGGCAGCTACATTTATTGGAATATGACCATCCCTGCATTAAATTCAAAAGTAGGGTATGGAGTGTGGAATAAATTTCATTGTAATATCTGATATTAGATATCTGATATTAGCTCTGGAAATTAACTATAAACAAAAAATCTAAAAATCCTAAATATCAGTGCAGGAAAAAACAGCCAGCAGAAAGCAGAGATTACTCAAAGAAAAGGCTATTACAAGAAACCCAGAAGTTCCAGCCAAAACWGTACATACAGTATCAAGGATACAGTAATTTCATAAGAGGACTGAAAAGGCAAAAACCTAGCTGGCAGGAGTCTCCTACATGAGTTAATACACCTGGAGAACTCTTTAAATACAAGCCTATACAACCATTTTCCAAACAAGTAGTCAGCAATGACCTTGCCTGTACAAAATGTAGTTTCCTGCTTTCTGTTTGCAAAAGGAGCTTTGATTGGCATTGATTTCTATTAAAAAAGTATAAAAAATAAATTTATACTATAAAAAGTATAAATAATAAATATCAAAGTATATAAATAAATCAAAAATCTTACTCAATTTGTTTGCATGCCACTGCAAATACTCAGTACACAAATATCTAGAACTAACATTCAGTGTACATTAAATAATCACTTGAATTTAAACATGAGGGTTTCTAAAACCACAAAATCAATTCCCTTTGAGAATTGGCAGAACCTTTTAATTTACACTATTCCAATTATAGTTTAACCAGCTGAATTATAACCRCCAAACACATTTACCAAACATAAATGTATAAACAAAAAAATAGCWATCACTCTTCTTAAAATAGTTAATGAAGAGCAGTACCTAAGAGCAGGTACTATACTGAAGTCTGAATTATCCAGAAGTCAAATTAAGCTAAAGCTTAACACTTCATAACACGAAGAGACAAAATTTAAGTCTTTTTACTGGAGATGCTTCTGACTTCAAAGAATCTGCAGTGAGTGAACAAAATCAAGCAAGGGACTGCAAGAGAGAAGACTGCCTCTTGCATTTYGAATCTCCTGCTAGATTTTGAGTTATCTGAAAAATAGTTCAAAGAAGTTACAGTTCTTCCTTTGTCTATTGATCACAGTAAAAGCCACATGCACAGTTCCCAAAGCTGTGGTAGGGCTTTCACGTGGAAGTGTTGAAATCTCTCATTTTTCTACTCATAGAAAGTTTTGCTTTTTGACAACACTCCGTACGGGATGGTGAAGCATTTCAAGGAAAAGTGTGACAGCATAGGAAATGAACACAAMTGATCATACCTCAGACTGGGAAGCTGTTTCAGTCCAAACAAGATTACAAGCAGTTGAATGCAACATTAATAGGAGTATCACAGTAGGGAAAAAAGTAGTCTGACAGAGCAGCTTGAATGGAAAAAAAAGACCCTCTGTTTATACCACCAATTAGGTCAAACAGATTTAATTATTATTTCAAGAATGTGCATACCATAAATAAAAAAAAAATGAAAGCCATCACAGCAAAAAGTATTCTAGGTAGGCAGGAGTTCGGAGTAACAAAACGTATTTGTTGAAAAGGTTATTTTTCCTCTATTACTGAACAGATCAGACACAAACATTCAAAGACATACACAACAGGCATCCAATAGAGATGCAAAGATGTCTACAGAGAAGCAAGGGGAAACAATCTGAGTGCTATTTCCTTTGAGTATACATTATACAGTAAGCAAATACGTAATAATCAATACACAATTGAAAGCATCATAAAAGCATTAAACTGCAGCACCAGCTTGAAGATGGGAGTCCTGAAACACATTTAGATTTCAAGACCTTAGGAGAAAATACTAACATGTTGTTTCTGAAGGTTACTTCAGTTTCTCCCCTCAGCTGAGATGGGCATAACATTCTAAGTATTATTTATATTCAGAAGTTTACAGTCCATCAATACCCAATTAAATTTAATGGCATTCTTCACAGTGAGATCTACCATAAGCAATAAGCTACAGAGAAATAATTTACCTTCTTTATAATTTCTCCACCCATTTAAGCTACAGATCAACCTACCACTCACAAAACAAACATCCATATATTTTCAGTCACCCTTTTATTCAGCTTGACTACATGAACTAGCTCTTCATTTGCTGCACTTACACACCTTAAATAC